TGTACTTAGATGAATTTTTAAAGAGTTACATAATTGTCACTTACTTGCTTAATAGTTCTCGACGTTTCAGCTCCATACAGTAGAACTATCTTCACGTTCGTATCGAAGACTATAACTTTGATATTAGCTGACAGTTGTTTTGAGTTCTATATGTTCTTCGACTGTAGAAATTTTGTCCTTTCTTGCCAATCCTTGCTCTTATGTCTGCATTAAATCCTCTGTCCGGATATATAAAACTTTCTACTTCTTCCAGAACTTCCCCATCAGATATGATTGAGTTGTTCTCTGTGCTATTTTTGAAGATCTTCCTTTTTCCTTTGTGTATGCTAAGGTCTGCTGATGCACAAGTTTTGGCTACACTGTTTTTCTTGGCCGGCATTTGTTTGTGTGTATGCGATAGAAGGACTAGGTCATCTGAGAAGTCCAAATCGTCTAGTTACATCCGAGCTGTCCACCCTACTCCATGTTCCCCCACAAATATGGAGCCTTCATAATCCAGTCAACCACCAGAAGAGAGAGGTAGAGTAAGCGGTCTTGTCTGGCTCCTGCACTTACTTGGAATGCGTCTGCCAGCTATCTTTCATGCACAACTTCGCAGAGTAGTCCGTCGTATGAATTTCGTATGATGTTGAAGATTTTCTCAGGTATACTGTAGTGTCGAAGAAGGTTCCACAAGGTTCTTCTATCCACGCTGTCAAACAATTTCTCATAGTCAAGGCATTTGATGTATAGTGACGAGTTTCATTCAGTTGATTGCTCAACAATGATTCAGTGTCGCGATTCGGTCTCAGCAAAACCGATCCTTACGGAGTTCGGTCTGTTGATCTCGAAGTACGGTATCCACTGAATCTTTCATTCGGTTCAATAATACTCTTTTGAAAGCCTTTCCTGTTACCGACAGTAGTATGGTGCCTCCGTAGTTTTCACATTTGCTCAGGTCTCCTTTCTTTGGTATCTTGATGAGATATCCTATTTCCCGTCTGTCATTGGCACTTGTTTCTCTTCCCAAATCTTCCTGTATAGGACGTGCAGCATGTTTGCAGTTGCTTCTATGACTGACTTCAGTGCTTCAGCGGGTATATTGTCAGATCCGTCTGCTTTCCCTGTCCTGAGTTCCCCGGTCGTTGGTGAGGGTCACCTATAGGAAGGTCTGTAGGCGTTGTTTCGATGCCCAGTGGATTCAATGGAGCTGGCCAATTCAGGGGTTCTTCGGAGTGTTCCGCCCATTTGTTCCTCCTTTCATGAATCTTAGTGACTAGCTTGCCTTCTTTGTATTTGACCTGTCTCTCTGGTTGACCACGTTTTCCTGTCAGTTTCTTCGTTATGTCTTATAGTTGTCTGGTATTTCTTTCTGTTGCAGCTTTTTCCGCTGCTGTTGCAAGATCTTTAACATTTCTACTTGTCAGTTCTGATGCCATTCTTCACTTGCTTGTTTGCTTCTGTGTATTCAGCTTGTAACTTGTCTTTATCTTTCCTTGCTCGAATGTTGTTTATTGCTGTCTTTTTGCTCTTCCTGGTTTGAATGCTGTCCAGGGTTTCCATAGAGATTCATTTCTTATGATGATGCTTCTTGCAGCTCAGAGCCTCCCAAGATATTGGAGTTAGTGCTTCTTTTCCAATTGTCTTCATTAGAAGTTTCATCTTCTTTGAGTAGATCCTGGAAGGTTTGTAATCTGTTGTTGAGAACTATCTTGAATTTGTTGAGTTTGTTAGTATGTCAAACAAGACTGTATTGAGTCTTTGTAATGCTGTTTCCCCAGTTTTCCAGTATTTTTTAGCTTCAATTTCATCTTGGCAACTACCAACTAGTGGTGATCTGAAGCTATGTCAGCTCCTATCCTCACCAACACGGCTTCAATTGACCATCTGAATGTTTTAGTGGTGCAAATATGATTGATCTGGTTCTGTGTAGTGTGATTCGATGAGATCCATGTAGTTATGTGTGTGCGTTCGTAGGGGGATATTGTGCCGCCTACAACCATTTTGTTGAGTGCACATAAATTAACAAATCTGTCACCATTCTCGGTCTCTCATCCCAGTTAGTCCATGTTGTCTCATGACATCTTCATACCTGGCGTTTTAAATCCTACTTTGGCGTTTAAGTCTAGTATCAGGATGGTCAGGTCGTTTCCTGTGCACCGCACTATGAATTTAAAGCCTCTTGTAAAACTGATCTTTATCATTATCGTTGCTATCATTGGTGAATGCATCACGTTGTATAGCATTTATTATGATTCCCTCCTTCTTTTTTCGAAAGTTGCTTTGATGATCTTTGGTTCATGAAATTTCCGTCCTATAAGCATCAAAACAACTCTGGGTGTGTGGAGCATTTTCTTTCTCGTGACCAAAATAAAGCAGCATTTCTCCCGAATCTATCATCTTCTATCTAGCTTTGGTCCAATGGGTATTATTAATTTCAGGCACCGTCAAGTTGTATCTCTTCATTTTTGCAATTATTTGATTGGTTTTTCTGGTCTCCTACATTGTCCGAATATTCATGTATCTATATTAATTGTTGCTCTGGTTGTTGGAAGGGATATTGGCCTCGTAAATTCCGAAGAATCATGGCTTTCACTATGAGGCGTCATAATTCTTCCTTCAACTCGGAAGATTCAATTTGTTCATTCTTTTTGGATTTTTTTTGCAAGATTGTTTTCTATTGGATGGGGTTGCTTACCACATGCTAATTAACATATGAATATTTCTTATCGTTCTTTCATACCTACTTCGCTGATGAGAACCCTTCCGACATTATGATATAAAGTATGAATACTGATTTTTAAAGATTAATATTATTATGTTTAAGTTGAAAGCAGTTGACGAGAAACTAGGAAATATGATGAATTCATGTTATCCTGCTACATTTATTGTTCTTGATTTTTAGTCAAATTTATAAATGGGAAAAATTGTATGAAATTATGTATGCACTCGTATTATCTTGTAAATAGTCAATAGACAAAAAAGTACAAAATACACAATGACTTTATGATACATTAAAAATATTATTAATTAATTATTACCTTTAAATGGCTAAAGGAATATGAATTTTAATCTAAACATTAATTCGATAAAAAATATAAAGTTAATCAGTATTTCCAATTATTTTCAAAAACTATGTGTAAGACTCATTAAGTGTACAAATTATCTACAGCTTAACATTTAAATACACTCAATAATCAGTGTAATTAGAATTATTGTAATTTTATTAAGTCACATTGATGAACGTTGCTTGTATAACTTAATGTATATATGATTGACAATTTAATTTATGAACTGGTTCAATAGTTATTAAGAAGCAATAAGGAAATACACTGAAATTGAAACGCAAAAACTATGGTGTGTAGTTTATACAGAGTACTTCAATGAAGATAATAGAAAAATCTTGTTCAGTTGTAAGTCTTTACATAATAAAAACTGGGTAAAAAATACTGCCTTCAAAATATTTCATTGATTATAAATGTTAGTTTTTCTCAATACAAGTTATATCGACTTTTGCTTCAATCCATTCCATAGTTTTTGATTGAGATCATGAACCGATTGATGTTAGACCACCGTTGAAAACCTGAAAGCCGGCTCAGTGGTTCAGTAACTCAAGCATCCGCGCGCGAGACTGAAGGTCCTGGGTTTGAATCCCGCAAGCGGGATCGCGGGTGCGCACTGCTGAGGAGTCACACAATAAGACGAAACAGCCGTCCAGTGTTTCCAGGTCTTCAATAGTGGTCTAACATCAATCGGTTCATGATCGCAATCAAGAATTTAACAATCTCCACAACTCCTAAACTGATATTTCATAGTTGTAATTTTTTAGGCTTTTAAAAGACCCATTTTAAAACGATAATACGTCAAAATATTATCATTTATGTGACCAGATCATAAACTAGTGTCCTTTTGAAGCTGCCTGCCTTTAGTAATTTGCGAGTAAATTATATTGCAACATCGGCATTTTTAGCTAAACTTGTTGTTCAAGCATATGTTTCTTTTTTAAGTGTGGCTGCTAAATCGAACCTAAAAATGAAATTCATAATTTAATTTTTTATTAAATCTGGACATTTTGTGACCTCATACCTATAAATTGTTAAATTCTCTAGTTATTTATTATAGAATAAAAACACAAGCTATGGGATCAAATCATTTAGCTTAGAGAACTCAGCATTATCAAAAACACTCACCTAATCTACAAATCTTTTTATCAGTGCATAAATATGAGTATAAAATTAGTATATGACATTGTTTTCGATTATTATTGTTAAGAGGCTGTGATATTTAAAAGCCATTCCATAATACGACAGGAATGTTTGGAAATGTTTTAGTATGCTGACAATTACGCTGACTACATTTGCTTCAATTGTGAAAACATTCTATAGAATAAGAATGAACATTCTTGATAAACAAATAGTTCCAAAATTTATTTTTATTTTAACAGATATATGATACAGACTTAAATAAACTTGAATAAAACTTGGTGATACTAAATGGCTTATGAAAAAACATTGAATCTGTTAACCAAGATGATTGCATTTGGTTTAAACAACTATAAACTGAAATAATTCAAAGTCAGTATTCTTCACGAATGAAGGTACGCCTTGTTGATCAGTGTATATTCCCAAGAAAACCACGTCCACTGATTTTAGTTGGTCAACCTTAACTACCTTAATAACTCTCCTAAGCTTTCATTCATCCCATAATCTGTTATTCAAAATTTGTAGTTGAAGAGTGAAAAAATAACTGTTATATAACAAATAATTTAAATGACGAAGTAATCTTAGCTAGATCACCAACTGGAAGGCTTATCGTCTGTTTCGTTCTAGTACAGGATCCCTTTGCGGTGAACATCTACAAACCCGCATCCGAAAAAAAGAACCTAGGACCATCGGTTTTGTGCTCGAATGATTAGTCTCTAGACCATTAACATGGCATCCAACGGCTAAATACTCGAAATACTGAAATAGATTTCTCATTAAATCAGCTCAAGGATGTTGAAAACCAGTTAAATAACTTACTAAGTGATCAAGAGCTGAAAGTATTTGTGAAGAATAGTTTTTTGATGTTTTTTCATCCAATCGACCAGATCGTTTTAAATATGAATTAAGTTCACCTTTAGGCGCATATTCCATAACCAAATGCCAACGTTGTAATACCTCATGTGCTTCATATGCACGAATTATGTGTGGATGATGTAAACGTTCCATGTTCGTTAGTTCTTGAGAAAGTAAGCGTCGAGTTTTCTCATCAAATTTAGTTCTGTCAATAACTTTGACTGCAACTTCGACTAGTTAACAAAAATGGGATAAAAAGAGACGATAACTGTAGTAAAGGGAAAAATGTATTTCATAATTCAAAAATAGAACATTTCACCAGACAATACAGTGTTTAGAAATTTCTGAACGAATTTGTTTCTACTTTCCAGTGACAATGACTAGTTATGAGATTAGATTTCCAAAATTCGAGTAAGAATTTGTGATAAGTGAAGTTCATCTCTATCGGGTGTGAAGCACGTACTCATCGAATACAATGAAGCACAACGAATACGTAACTCGGGTTGATTGATGTTAGATATCTCCACAACTGGATGCGGTTTCAGGGGTTTAAACGTCAGGTTTTCGCCTCAAGAACTAAGGGCCTCAGGTTCGATTCAGGGTGGAGTCATATATGTGCACTGTCGAAGGGTCCCATACTAAGGCAAAACATCTGTACATAGCTTGCTAGTTTTCGGTATGTGTTTAACCCAGGTTGTTTTATGACCTCAATAACATTATTAAAATATTCGTCTTACTCTTCGTTTTAATAAGTCTCTGATCATACACTTGATTTTGGCACATAATATCTCCTAGTTAGAAGCACTTTTTCGAATATTTGTAGAATGTAGGACAGTTACCGCCTTTGGCAGTTAATAGTTACATAACACAGTAGACTGACAGAAGGTAGAAGTGTAAAGCGTTGAACTTCACCTCAGCTGAATAAGTGTAAAGGGGAGTTATGAGGGCTAAATATGCTAGGTTTGGTCCCTCCCTGGCCTGTGAATTTACATTATTGAGGACTCTTGTAATAAAACAAAACAACTACTCATCGCCCCTCGGTATAGCTGAAGTCAGTCATAATGTTGAACACAAACTTTGAAATTTATTCGGCAGTATTTCTATGTATGATTACTTTTATTCGGCTCAATGACCAAGTCATTTCCATTTGGAACCATTTATGAAGTACTTTTGATATGAAGTTTGAGAATTTACATATTGAGAACCAGACGAGCCACAATATTTTATCAGTAGTTAGTCATAACTTATATCCACGCTCATTTTAGTGGTTCGAATAAAAGTGCAAAAATAGAGTTATACAACAAACACAACTCTATAGAGATCAGAAATTCAGACTTTGTATAAGCTATTCGATGGTCATCAGCAACCCCAGATTACCGTTAAATTTTTAAGCCAAATGGTCAGTGAGATACTATGCTATGCATATAATTAACATAAACAGCGTTTACTACCTTTATCTTGTGTAATACTTATAATTAGAAAACATGGGGTTTAAGTGTGTAATAATCCATGGCTTGAAGTGTTCGACTGGTCAAGATGAATCCGCGCTAGATTTAAAATGACTTGACTAGAAGTATTGATATAGCCACGAGCCATTTGTCAAATGATGGTAGCATTTATTTTGAAGTCTGATGCTTAAGGTGGAATCAATACTATCGAACAATGAAATTATTAGAACTACTAGTTCTCTTCTGTAACTTTTAAGAATTTGTTAGTAAACAGTGAATAATTAATTATCACGATTAATTTTTTCAACGTGCAAACAGGAAGATTAAGTGGGTTGTTGTTTGGTGGCTTGTACAGTCGGATGAACTGAGTCTATTAAGCGTGAAGCGCTAACTTTGTAAATGTATTTTAACTTAAATTTCCAAGCCAAATAATTTAATATCCGTTTTTCCAGTTTTTGAGACAAGAATGCTAGTTACAAACGAAACACTGGTTTTTCGAATTAGTGATTAATACAAATCTATGCTGTTAAGGTGCTACTCTAGGTATTTTTACTGCTAAGCACTAAAATGTTCGTATTCTCTTTATGCTTATGAGGATATTGTTAGGTAAACGCCGCGACTACATTTCTTAAATAGAATACACAAGTTTACATTTTTTTCTAAAAACTAGAAAAATATAAAGGTACAGAATAAGAACATGCTTAGCACTTGATGTCCGTAACCACCAACAGTTTATGAAATTTCATTGACAATATTTACTTAAATGCCATTTATGAAGTGTGAGTGGTCGATAAGATTAGATGTTTTCATAAAATTGTTCTTAGCTTATGTTGCTTTCTATTTCATTGGAGTGTAGCCATAATTAGCTACTGTAATTTCCTATCAAGATGTTCATTTTAAGTGCGTTTAGCTGAAACAAAAGAAAAAGCCGACGTTTTGAAGTCTAAAAATTTTATCAAAAATATGTAAAGTTTAAGTAAATACTTTTTAGGCTTAATCTAATATCTACAACCGTTGAGGTAACAGTTGTGTTGAATAAACTTTTGCTATATTTTTTATCTAAACAAATAAAAGTTTGTGTCATAGAGCTTCGTATAATGGATCTAGTTTGTTAATTATGCCAAAAAACATCAATAAATAAAAAGGTGGGTAATGAAATTATTGGCTTTAATCCGACATCGGATTAAAATGACACTTCTGGAGTTTTGTTCCTGATGTCACTTATTTAAATATCACCAGTGTACTAGCAGTCAGCTTTAATAATGAGGCTAAGAATATAAATCCTTGTTGGACACAAGAACGTGTGTGAGAAATCGCATTTCAAAATGGAAAATACCTAGGTCATAAATGCATTAACATCAGCTGTTACTAGATAGACTGAACAAGACTAATAGAAATAGGAGTATTATTGAAAAACTAAGTACGTCTATTTAGTGTAGCTATAATGAAAGCTCATGATGTACCATCATTTCAACTAGTTATAAACTTTTGACCAGACTACTAGCTTAATTTATGCATCATTCAAATGGGAATCAACTTATGCTTTTAGTAAAAATGTTTCTTATTACGATTACGTCTAATTCAGAAAAATAAACCGAATCCAACTGAATAAATTAGTTTAATGAAGAGACATAAATTTCGCACAGTGAAATTTTAAGAGAAAAGTATGTGAAAAGAACAAAATTATGACATTTAGTATGTAATAAACTAAAAAGAATGCTTCAGATAAAAATAGACAAGACATTATCATTTGAGAAACTTAATAAAATAAAACAACGCTTTGTACAATACTTATTATTGTTATTTAAGTATGCCATTGTTGATTGATGGTTATTGTTCATTTAAACGTGACTGTTTTCACATCTTTGATAATGTTTAAATAGATAAGCTTATGAAGTAAATGTACTAAGCAATATTTTCACAAACAATTATTATCTTAATAATATGGATGATGAGCAGTTGTGTCATAAAAATCCTTTTTCAACTGCCTTTGCTTTAGTGAATTCATTGTTTGTTTGTGAATATCTTCATTATTTTATAAGGTTGCATTGATTTTACATTTAACTATTTTCGAATTGTTGATGTGAAACGTAAAAATAGAAGAATTTATTTCAGGAAACGTAGCTATTTTCACATGATCCTACTTAAACACTTTAGATTAATTTGTCAGAACAAAGAGATATTTTATGTAGTTGATTGAGAACATTTTCCCACTGATTGGTTTGTTTTATGTTATTATTTGAAAATCTTAAGATCAAGTGATATCAAAGAAATTCCAAACTTGGTCATTTTGATTATGTCTGTTTTTATACTCATCAAAAAAGTAGTTGTTTGATTCTGAGAAGCGTAAAAACTTTTGTTTATAAAATTTAATTTCTATATCTTGGTTTTTAATTTATTGCCTTAAATAATGATGAACATGTTCAATGGTTCAGTGTGATAGGTATAAAGCTTAGGACATAGTTTTACTTCATTTATTTGAATTCATCAATAAGACAAGCCTGAAACATTGAGGAAGTTTACTCTGTTTTATTGGGCAAAGCACATTACTGAATTTCATAGGAACATTATTCTGAGTTATTCTGTATCTCAAGTGGCTATCACAGATTAAGTATATGATAGTAGTCGTTATCGCGTAACAAGCATTTTGTTGTCAGTATAAGATTGTGAAGATCGTTGAGTTTTTATTGAGATCGTGAACTGATCAACGTTAGGCCAACTTTAATTGGTTCGTGGTCTCAGTGAAATATTTTATTATTTAATACTTACTTTATTCTAATCTGATCTGTCGTAACTAACCACTTAGTATTGATTACAATGGCTAAAGATAATAAATCATTCTTAGTTTTTTGAATACATAGTAAAGTAACAGAACTAATTTAGAATTTTAAGGATCATAACGGTTTGAGAGTAATAATCTTATTTCAAAAATTGATTCGTTCATGTACAAAATTTGAAGTTAAAATTAAATAAATACCATTATTCAAATAACATATACTGTAATAAATAATCTACTTTCACCAAACATAAATGAATAGTGAATCATATTTAATAACGTTACTTATTGAAACAATTTGAAAATGAATAAATCATATTTTTACTTTAACATTATTCTGCTCCTTTAAATTACAGAAATTGAAACCTCTTGAAATATAACTAACATTAAGTTGTTTTTTATATTATTGAGTTATATGTTATCTATTACATAAATTCACAAAAAGTATTTGTCGAACATGCCTCTTCACAAGGTTTAATTAACTGAGGTCAAGTATAGAAAAATATTTCAGTAAATAAAAATTAATGTAATTATAGACAGCAAACTACTTGATTATTAAATAATATGCAAATATCAATGATCATAGAGTAGAAACGGCTTAATCCAGTTGACGTTTCAAAAACATTCTATGCCTAATTTATACAGACAGAATTCAGAATCGTTCAAAAGCCAGATAGTGCTTATCTTAATAAGCAGTTATATATATATATATATATATATATATATATATATATATATATACCTATTTTACCAGTACAAATCCCAATGGTTTAATTCTAGATTTCACTTAGAATCGTCTAATTTTTTCTCTGCCAACGATTAATGATGTGGCTAATAAGTTGCGATATATTTTCATTGTTGATCTTGTAGAATGAAAAGATTAATAACTTATTAAAGGTAAATTATAAAATATTGTCGTCAAGATAACAATAATGAATATCACACAAAGTAACATTCCCTATGAGCAAATATCAAACTAAATACTAATGAAATGCATGAAGTATCACAT